AGGAACCAATGGGCTATCAGGCAATCGTAGTAGAGCCACGGATGGAAAGTATGCCGCAACTGATGGCATTGATTGTCGACCACATCGACATCCTCCTCGAAGATTGGTATCCTACGCTAGGCACGCGCTTTGTTCATACATCGGAAGGCAAATTGCTGGTCACCAGACTTATACCGTGTCCGCGCTGTTTGCTCGACAACACTGAGAGCAGTGACATCGAATCGAACGACGGTGACGGTCGGATAATCGAAGACATCCAAAAATATTGCGCCGTAAATCGTAGCGAAAGACAAAGCCAAGACAGCTACAAATCCGACGGCGACAGCGGCGTCGGTTATGATAGTTTAACGTCCAGCAGAATGCCATCGCTCGAGGGACACCCGGACATGTCGAGGCAGCAGACTCCCTCTTCGCATCTCGAAGGTATCCTTGCATATTCTTGGATGGTGGAGGAGTGCATATTGGCAGCGTACAGTAACAAATCTATCAGCTGTCCGAGACATTCGGAGATCCCACTGTCGCACATCGCGCCAGATATCATTTTTATGGATCTGGGCGCTAAGCATCTTATCAAATCGGAGGATCTAAAACGAGGCAAACTGCTCGGTCGCGGCGCCTTCGGTTTTGTCTTTCGTGGCAACTGCCGGTTACCAGGCACACATGTTCGCGCCGACGTGGCTATTAAGATGCTACAACCGGTCTCGCCGGGTCCGAACTCGACGCAATCAGCGATACTCGCGTATAAAGCATCGCAGAGCAAATGGGACCGCGACCCATTGCAATACGCCTGCAAGGCCTATTGCATGGCCCGTCAGGAACTCAACATCTTGCTGACACTCAGACACGCCAATATCGTGCCATTAATCGGCATAGTCGTCAGTCCATTGGCTCTGGTTCTGGATCTCGCTCCTCAGGGCGCGCTAGACGGCGTCCTGAAAAACTACCGTCGCTCCGGCGCTAAACTAGATCCCTATACGCTACAGGCGATAATCCTACAGGTCGCCAAAGCGGTGGAGTATCTGCATCAGCAGCACGTCATTTATCGCGATCTGAAATCAGAGAACGTGCTAGTGTGGCAGATACCGTTGCCGTTTCAGGAGAGTTTGGAACCGGTGCACGTCAAAGTTGCCGATTATGGGATTTCAAGGTTGACGCTTCCCACGGGAGCAAAAGGTTTCGGAGGCACAGAGGGTTTTATGGCACCCGAGATCATCAGATACAACGGCGAGGAGGAGTATACGGAGAAGGTGGACTCGTTCTCGTTCGGCATGTTCATCTACGAACTGATTACGTTGCGCCAACCGTTCGAGGGTCATGAAGCGGTGAAGGAGTGCATCCTGGAGGGCGGTAGACCGCCGCTCATGTACCGCGAGACTCTCCATCCATGTTACGCACTCGACTTAATGGTGATATGTTGGGCGCAGAATCCGAAGGATCGACCGACAGCTAGTCAGATCGTTTCGATCGCTTCCGCGCCCGAATTCACGCACCTGATAGATGTCACCCTGCTGACGGAGCGCACGCAAGTAACGGCAGTCACCATGACGAATCGAGCCGGCAATAGCTCGACTAGCGACGCGGACAGCTTGAATGGTGACGAGATATGGTTTGGCCACAACAACGGCGAGGTGGACATGCTATTGGGCACCCAGAAGGGTTGGCTGCGCCACGTGCGTATCGAGACGCCGGTGATACCGTACGCCATGCACGGCGTGGACGGCTACATCTGGATCGGCGACAACGCCGGCCAAGTGCATGTCTATCTATGCGGCAACTTTGGCTGCGTAGCTAGCTACAACCTCGAGGCAGATCACAGCAGAGAATCTAAAGTAGTCGGACTGATCCACTTAGAACAATTGAAACAGTTTGCTGTGGCACTGCACAGCGGTCGTATCTTTTTGTTGTCCAATTCATTCACGCAGGTAAGGAAGACGGAGATCACTGGTGGCGGGACAGCAGAAGTGACACGTCATAGTGCTGATGTCAAAACTTACTCGCTGACGGCGATTTGTCGAAAGAGACGCGTGGTGGAGCTTTGGGCTGGCCAAAGTTTCGGCCGGATATCCGTCTATACGCTGAAGGACGGCAACCTAATCGATACGGTACAGTTGTCTCACTCCACCGGGACCGCCAACGACGCCATTATGAAGAATCTTTTCGCCACGTATCTGATCGGCGCGACCATCGAAAGCTTCGTCTTTTCGTACACATATCCAGGTTGCATAGTATACCAATGGGACGTGGACGGCCGACAGATCGTCAATAAGCTCGACATGTCCAAACTGGTGCCGTGCTCCGAAAGTCTTAAGTCTATCTCTATCGAGGAGAATCTATCAACGGATAAGTGTCAAGTGACCGCGCTCGAGGCCAACTCCGGTCAGCTGTACATCGGCACCACCTGGGGCTGCATCGTCGTCGCTGAGTGCGGCACTCTGCGACCCGTCACCGTGTTCCGGCCGTTCGAGGGCAAGGTTTGTCAGATTGTGTCCCTTAAATCCACCGACAAGAAGAACGCACTGCTGGCAACCGTTGGCCAGGGCTATCGCAGCCTGATCGCACGATACACCGACTTCCCGTTGAAGAGCCTGGAGAATGAAGAACTCAGACACGGCATGTATACCTTGCTATGGCGATCGGAAAATTGGTCGTCGGCTTGATTCTCCCGAAGATCTTAACATCCGCATTTTCGCTCGCGTTCAACGATGTCTGATTTCAAGTTTCGTTTATCTCGAAAACAACACATAAGATGCTGACAGATTGCATTTAACGCTGAATGTGCGGTGAGACGATGAAACAATCCAACTTTCTTCCAATAAATACCGGCAGAAAAAGGTTGTAAACTTTGGTCGGTGCCAATGTAGACATTTCGGTATAATGAAATTTCGAAAAGCGATGAAGTTTATCAAACTCTCTTCTCTTTTCGTCGAAGCATTTAGGTGGTGCGAAGTTTAACCGAGTCTCCCTGCGTTCGGGTGAATCTTATACGTCCAATATTATAATACCTAGTATATAACAGGCATTCGTGGTGCGAATAAGCGCGCTTGAGGAAGAAATCGTTTTTATAGAATTTAAAAAGAATAATAATCTTGCAAGTTTCAACACTCGATTTTTTCGAAGCACGCTTATTGACGAACATCTTATGTATCGCGTTACAGGCTGTATGCTAATTCTTTAGTTCGTCCAGGTTGCAGGAATTATCGAATCAAGAGTGTAAGAGAGTGAGAGAGAGAGGGAGAGAAATAATCTTATTTTGTATAAAACAAAATCGTAAAGATGTATAAGAGTTTAACGATACTCTAAAGTACGTTCTCGTTTGCATAAGTATAATCAAACGTTACGATTCGTAGTATTTAAATATTTATATAATGCTTTAAATAATGAAAGAATAGAAACGAGTCCGATATTAATGTAATTTATGTCGTCGCAATAAGACAAGAGCGAAAAAAGATAAACATTCTTCAATATCGTATTTGATATTATTATCTGAGCTGTTTTGAGCATTTTTTAGCACTATCAATTAATCTCAATAATATTCACACACACACACACACGTATCGAGAGATTTTTATTTTACTGACGTAAGTTTCACAGTCTTGAATAGATAAAAATATGATATCAAAATCATACTCATATATTTCCCTGCAATTCAGTTGCATCACGTCCAAAATAATGTCTTTCGAGTCTTATCGCGAGATATGTAAAGATTTAAAAATCTAATTTTAAGATTATTGTAGGACACATTATATAAATATATCAGCATTGCGTTATTATAATACTAGATATGAGACTATATACACACACACACACACATTAGAAGCATTTTGCTCAATTGAATCATTAAATTTTCATCTATGTTTTAATTATAGAGAAATAATTAGTGTATCCCAAGCGCGTAATGAATGTGATACGAGGTACTCAGCGAAAGAAAGAACGTAAAATATTGAAAGCTGTTACATTATTTTTAATAACGATGCTCTCTAATTGTGTTTTTTTAATGACAAGTAGCTCTTCAGGAGATTTTCTAGAAATTTTGTCTTATTGAGAGCTATATACTCGCTTCTTAAGATTAAGCGTTCTTCAGAATAACTCTTTTATTAGTATCATAACAATAAGAAAAGAAAGTGAACAATATAATTATACGATTTACATGTCGCGCGTATAATACATTTTTTTTAAAGATGGCATCTAAAAAGCTAGATGAATATTATTTCTAGAAAATGTGACGAGATCGGCCGAGTCTTTCTAATATTATATATAATATAGGGCTTGCTCTCCATAATTTCCAAACCAGCACGTTCGATACATACATTGACACGTTAAATGCCGTAAGGGCTTATCGGTGATATCCAAATTGATGAAAATGCTTGTAATAAATAAAACAAAATACTCTCAAATTTGTGAACAATATTAATGTTATAATAATTATGTAAAATAGCAACATACAGCAAAACATGCAAAATTTAGTCGATATTGAACGTATAATATATATAAATATATATCTTTAATTTATACAGTGCGTGCGCACATTTTATACTTATTTTTTTAATTACTTGTACCTGCAGCGCATGAAGCGAACCACAGTGTGATATATATGCAGCTTGTATCCCTTTTTTCTAAGATGATAACTATTATGAAGAACTAGAAATTATACATCTCATCCTATACAAGGATACTTTCTAGATTATTATTAAGTATACCTTGGAATACGGCAAGTGATTAATGATGTAAGATTTATAATTATTCACTAAGAGAAAATTCTATGATTGAACACATTAGAAATATCTTTGTAAATTCATGTTTACTCTCATTGTGAATATTATTATAATTATCATCTCATACTCAACAGCATAAGTTGTAACATTACCGAAATCCATTGTTATTTAATGTATTGATTGTCACAAAATACAAACTATACTTGTTGAACAAGACTCTGCTATCATTTCTACTTCTATAATACAAGCATGGTAATACTCATATTTTAATTAATATAGATTACTATCCATTAAATAACAAGGTCTTTATTTACAAAAAAAATACATTTTATAATCACTTAAATATATTAGGTGGTTTAGTCTCTACTTTCTTTGACATTCTTGTTTCTACCTCTAAAGTATACTGTTGCATTGCCTTTTTATAGACACTATCTTCCGACAATTCTTCCTGCTATAAATTGAATATATTTTTAATACAATATATTATATAAACAATTTAATAATAAATCGAACTTACTGTACATACCTCTTTTGTTGTTTTGTACATAGATAGAAAATTTTGTGTTGCAGATTTTACATTTTCATTTGCTAAATTAGTAGCTGGTATAAAGTTTTTATCTTTGTGGAATCTTCTGCAAGAACAAACATAATTTAGTGATATGACTTAAATAGAGAATGACACAAAAATATTTTATTCAATGTAATACAGTAAAAGACATCTTACACTCGAATTAAATCCTCTTCATAAAAGATAGGTCTGATTTCTTTCTTTGGCAGTCGTCTATTGTATCTAGGTTCGTATTTCGGAGGGAAAGCCTCGTACACTGCCAACCATAACGGTTTGTCTTCCTCTTTCATAGCTTTACCCTTTAATAACGAGATGACCCTGAAATTCATTCCCATTATGTAGATATATGTAGCTATTGTTCGAAATCTTTAAGTTAGCTATTAAATATTGTAAACAAGAGTTCCATTTTTTAATTTCCAAAAGATGATATAACACAAATATACAAAACAAGTTATTAAATAATATCCAAATCTTTATCCAAAAACTCTAATTTCTAATAAAATTTATATAATAAAATGTCGATTGAAAAAATTGCTTGGTAGTTTTAAAACATAATTGCCAATTTAATTTTCGCGTAAATTCAAAAATAATTCTATTGGACAGGATTACAAACAGTACATACACTCACCTGCTATAAACCGTACCAATTTTTTCTAATCTGCTTTGAGCCATGGTGTGTTTCTTTTAACGTGACGATTCGCGAATAAATTATAAGGAACACTCGATTCGGAAAAGACCCGGTGATTCGTCTTCACGGATATTAACCTAACTTTTCAAGCATCATGCATCATCACAATATCCCGTCGCCATTTTTAAAACGTTACAGTGTGGTATAAAAAGATAAGTCCCTAAAAATTAGCATGTGATCTTTGCAAGTGACTTTTTGAAATGACAGTGTGGCTAACCTGCCGTTTTCCCGCGCAGACAGAACCGAACCGTGTTCGCGTAGCTTTCAAAGCGTTTTGCGTGTTTCTTCGAATTTTTCCGTATAATAGATATCGTGTAATAAATATTGGATTTTTTAATTAATTGCTGCAAGGATGGATACGGAAATCGATCAGAATCTGGAACAGATAACGCGCGAATATGTTGATTTTCTCGACGACATGGTAGATATTTAATAATCAACATTTGTTATCAACACAGTGTACTTTCACTTCATACCGGCTACATCTTCTAATTTTATTAATTTTATTAAATTTATAGTCGGGAAGAAAAGGAGCGGAAATCGGAACGAGAGCGCGCTGCCTAACTACTCCGGATTACAAAGCCGCATGATGATGACAATGTTGTTCATCTACGATCTACGCCGCGACTTGCGAGGCCAAAATCGCGGCAGTGAAGCCCACGATCCGCGGCATCGACTAGCAGCGGGTACACGGCGCCGTTTAAGGGAGATCGCGGGGGAATAATATGGCCAGCCACCCCCGAATGCGCAGGATTCGATCGATGGTCCACGAGAGAGGACGTATCGTTATCTCGCGGGTGCCTCTCCTAGTGCCGTATCCACGTGTCCGCTTCTCCCGAACGTGGCAGTGGGATAAGATCCCCGTGTCTCTTTTAAACCGCAATTAAATATAAGATAGATCGGATCTTCGTGATTTGCGAAACGACAGCGCACACAAAAATTAATTTTATAAAATTTATATATATATATATATATATATATATATATATGTAAATTTAAATATATTTTATTATAAAGCGTTATAAAGATTATATCATTGTTTTTATGATATGTTGATTATGCCTACAGGAAGATCAAGGCATATATGCCACAATGGTTAAAAACATGGTTCAGGAAAATAAGTACAGACTGGTTGTGAATATCAATGATTTGAGAAGGAAAAATTCTGTGCGTGCAGCAAGGTATAATAGATTCATTTCTTCAGTTCTTATTAACTTGTAGTATGGATAAATATTGTCCACAATGTCTTGAAGAGTTAAGAATTATGAATTAATATATTTACAGCTTATTAAATAATTCTTTCGAGGAACAACTAGCATTTCAAAATGCCTTAAAACAGTATATTTCAAGTATAGATATTGAATATGCCAAGAGCAACAAAGATTTCTTCGTAGCTTTTGAAGGTAGCTTTGGAAACAAACATGCTACACCAAGAACACTTACCTCACATTATCTTGGTAACTTGGTATGTGTGGAGGGTATCGTCACAAAATGTGAGTACCTACAGAGAAAAAAACATAACTTTTATTCCATGTGAGATTTATTAAATTTATTAAAATCTGTTTAATTTCGAATAATTTAATCCATTTGTATATAGGCTTACAAAAAAATTGTGATATTTTTATTCAGAAATTTATCTTTTCATAAAAATAACATATATTACATATAAAATTATTTATTGTAGGTTCACTGGTACGACCAAAAGTTGTGAGAAGTGTCCATTACTGTGATGTGACCAAAACAGTCCTAGAGAGAGCCTACTCGGATTTAACTTCCTTGGAAGCTTTCCCGCATTCCGCTATTTATCCAACTACTGTAATTGTCTCTACAATATTTAAATAAGAAAAAAACATTTGTTTATCAGTTTCAAAAAAATTTACCTTTTTGGCTGTAGGATGAAGATGGCAACCCATTGGAAACAGAATTCGGTTTGTCCACTTATAAAGATCATCAAACACTCACTATACAAGAGATGCCAGAGAAAGCTCCAGCTGGACAGCTACCACGAAGCGTGGATGTAATCTGCGATAACGATTTGGTAGACTTGTGCAAGCCCGGAGATCGAGTACAGGTCGTTGGAAATTATCGATGTCTTCCAGGAAAGCAAGGCGGATACACAACTGGCGCTTTTAGGTATGTTCTGACAAAGGTGGAGAATTATTTTCCAATTTAATTGTGAGTTTTGTGATTTAATTGTGGATCTGTTCTATTTTCACCTAAATATGTGTTCTGTGCATAATCAGGACTGTTCTAATCGCCAACAATGTGATGCAACTGAGCAAGGAAGCTAATCTCGCGATTTCCCACGACGATGTGGCCATGTGCAAAAAACTGGCAAAGAACAATCCCTGCAAAAATATTTTTGAACTCCTCGCTAAGTCCCTTGCACCATCTATACATGGCAACGAATACATCAAAAAGGCGATTCTGTGTCTTCTATTAGGCGGGGTAGAAAAGATCTTGCCAAACGGTACAAGGCTAAGAGGGTAAGATTTTACCAAATTCTCCATGCTTATATATCGAAAATGTGATTAATCCAATAACTAAAAAAACAGATAATTTATTCTGTTATTTCTTAATAAGCTTTGATACATTTTAAAAAATTTGATTTGAGAGGTCTGATAAAGAGATCTTTTGCAATTTAGTAAAGGAAAATAATACCTAAGAAAAAAATTCATAATTGATACCAAGTAGTGAAAGTTTTGCCTCCTTTATCTTTAATATTCATTAACGATCTTGGAATAATAATCAGGACATCTTTCATACATTAGAGATATAAACGTATTGCTAATTGGAGATCCATCGGTGGCCAAGTCACAGCTATTACGTTATGTATTGTGTACCGCTCCACGAGCAATTCCGACTACCGGACGTGGATCTTCTGGCGTTGGTCTGACAGCGGCGGTTACGGTTGACCAGGAGACCGGCGAGCGTAGGCTAGAAGCGGGTGCGATGGTACTGGCAGATCGCGGTGTCATTTGCATCGACGAATTCGACAAGATGTCGGATATTGACAGAACGGCGATACACGAAGTGATGGAACAGGGCAGAATCACGATCGCCAAAGCGGGTATTCACGCCAGTCTGAATGCTCGTTGTTCGGTACTGGCGGCTGCGAATCCTGTATACGGAAGAGTAAGTTCGTCCTCTTGTGGTATTCTCTTGAAGAAGATTTCAAGAAGAAGCGGAAAATAATTATGAAGAAATTCGAGCTTTTATTCGAGATTTCTCTGTAATTTATGGAAAGATTTAGATAGTTTTGAATCAGATTTGCTTCTTTGCAGAAATATCTCTGTAAAACTAAAAATTGTTTTCATATAGAAAATAATATATAGTAATTAGACTAATATGTAACAAATAAATGGAATAATACCAATATACACAGAATAAAATATCTAATGACAAGAGAGAAAATATAATACTAATGAAAGCTTTTTTTCTATTTTCAGTACGATCAGTACAAGACACCTATGGAAAACATCGGCCTGCAGGATTCTCTGCTATCGCGTTTCGATTTGCTCTTCGTTATGCTAGACGTGATCGATTCAGATCAGGATCACATAATTAGTGATCACGTTGTCAGAATGCATCGATACAGAAATCCTCTAGAGCAAGATGGGGAGGCCTTGAGTTTAGGTTCCAAATTGGATATGTTGACCACGAAGAATCCGGATGATGTGGCCACTGAGGAGATGCAAACCCAAGTTTATCAGAAATACGATCCACTTTTACACGGACAAACGCGTTCTAAGAAGTAAATATATTGCAATTTATACGTATTTTTTTATTTTAAATATAGTATGAACTTTTCAATTAATTCTAAATGCTGATGTGTAAAGATTTTATACAAAGAGACCTGTTTTATACGAATTTTTTTTAGCGATCAGATTCTCTCCATACAGTTCATGAGAAAATATATTCATATCGCACGATGCATGAAACCCAGACTCACGGAAGAAGCCAGCGCCGTTATCGCGGAAGAATATTCGAAACTTCGGTCGGAAGATATGGTGGAATACGATGTTGCGAGGGTGAGTTTTGATACTTTTGTTTCTATAGGGTAAAAGAAAGATTCCAATCGATACTATATATCAAAATCATCAAAAAGAAGTTATACAAATATCTCTTTTTATATAATTTTCAGACTCAACCGATAACCGCAAGAACCTTGGAGACGCTGATCCGGTTAGCGACAGCACATGCGAAAGCACGGCTCTCGAAAAACGTGGAAGAAGAAGACGCGCGCGCCGCGATAGAGCTTGTGCAGTTCGCTTACTTCAAGCGCGTACTGGAAAAGGAAAAAAGGAAACGACGACGTCGCGACAGCGACGCGTCGGAGAATGCGGGCGATATTGATGAGAGCAGACAACCAAAACGCAGTAAAAAGACGAAAGATTCGGACGATCCGTACGAGTATGATAGCGATGATGCGCTCGATGTGACGAGCACGAGAATAACCAGGACGCAGTCACAAAAAATCAGCATGCGCACATCCCCGAGTCGCACGGAGACCGCGGAGAGCATGGAAATTTCCGTTCCGGAAACAGCGACGCCGACAATCACACAGGAAAGGTAATTTTATTCGAAAAAAATGACCTGAGTTTGATTCTTTGTGTTTGTGAAATTATAATAAAATCGTTACTTGGATAAGTATGAAAGTTTCTTTCACTTTTGACTTTTTACATCTTAAATATTTTATATACATCCATTTTTATATTTTAATTTTATTATTAATATACCTGATAAAACAGAAAAACGAAGATTGACTGAAAAGAAAGCATATTCTTAATTAATTTTCCTCTGATGTTTAGACTTACAATCTTCAAGTCATCACTTCACAAGTTGTTCCAAGACCGAAGGACTCAGACAATTCCGTTGAGAGAAGTCACCAATTATTTAAACACAACACAATCTTTGAATTTCACGAACGACGAGATCAACGCCGCCATCGACACCATGACCGACGCAAATCAAATTATGGCAGCAGAAGGCAACATCTTCCTGATATAAAATCTTACTGGTAATGTTTTCTGTTATGTTTTTTTAGATAATCAAAGCACGCGCGCGAATACCATTTGAAATAAAATTGAAATCGAAGCTTTCGTTTAATGCAATTATACGAGAAGCAAACGGTTATCCAACATAACTATAATGAATAATCAATGACTTTATATGAAACATGTAGCAATGGTGTATTTATATCATTCGATTTATGTATGTATCAGTTTTACTCTCCACAATTTTATGCAAATATTCGAAATTTTTTTTAACCGTTTGTGTCTATACTAATAATCATCGAGTAATAATAACGAATTTTATACAATTTTACGAATAATGATATCTAACAACATTTATTTGTCCCATACTCGATAAGACAATACATTGGCACATAAACTAGCAACAATCATCAACATTCATTTACACTGACGTAAACATAATGCGATTTCCAATGCTAAAAATCTCTCCACTTCTGTAAATACATATATACGCGTAACATATCGACTCACTTCGCGTGTGCGTATTATTGTGCCAACATCGATCGCTTAAAGTTTGACGGATTTATTCGACATACTCGCACACACATACATTCTTCGTCTTATTATAAAAATTCACGACAATATATATAAATGTTCCAATTATCTTTCCTACGTTCAACATGCACAACGTATAATCGACACAATCTTGTTTGAAAATAAATTACATCTTTGGTCGAATAACTCTTTCTCGAGTCTTGCACAACTGTTGTTTTACGTTAAAGTATCTCCCGTAACAGCATTACTGCTAATTATAACAAAGATAATGTAACATCAACATTAAGTGCGCTAACACTTTATAATCGCTGATATTAAATCAATCAATTCGCGTAGATCTATTACGATACAGGCCTTCTCTTGGAACATATTCTGGCATTCCATAATATCCTATTATTTTCATAGAGAATCGGGACCATCTTCGTGACAAAAGTATCTACGACGAATCGCATCTTGCGCTAATTGTACTCACAGTTGCCCTTAACAACGCTATTCAACTATTACTTGCACAATGATTAACTTTAAACTTTGTATATCGTATAAAATTCACTATATAATTAATTAAAATGTTGTGTCCAACGACATGATCGATAATGAATGACGGATACGTGAACGATGTATAGGAAATTTTCTACACCTCGACATTTTTAAACAAATCGATGCTCAAGGATTTAAGTAATTTTCATATGGACAAATCATCTATTCGACGCACACATAATGCCCAGACATTCGATACGAAAAATGAGCATGTATATCTCGATTACATTTCTCTCTTTCGTTAGGAAATCGATTTCTTTAACATGGTGAGCTTCAACAAACAACGAACACAACAAAAGATTCGGAAAGCGTACGGAATTATTCTTTGACACAGCAAAATATTAATGTAACAGCTCTTGGCATTAGAAAGAGTAAATTATGGTCGAAGCTCAACGCGTTAAAGTTTTTCGAGACTGATTTCAAGCGATTAAAATTATTAGGCACATACCACATTTTTTTCCTCCGATTTCTTTTTCCTTACTCGATGCAAAATCTTTAGGCTTGTGTGAACAGAGAAAAAATTCGTTCTTTTTTTTACTGTTGAAGATAGGAATCCTCGTTTTACAATTTGCTCCTGATCATAATCGTTTAGCTCCTAATCGTAATTCTTCGTCATACGGCTTACAAGATTTAAACCTCGTCCTCGCTGGAGTCGCTGCTGTAAGCTAATTGCTCCTTCCACCATTCCCGAACTTCCAGCATAACACTGGAAACTTTAGGCACAGTTGTCTTGTTACTCAATGCTTCCCTTTGTTGCCTGCTTTGCTCCGTATTTTCCGTCAGATGAGGTAAATTATTTTTCACCATCGCTGAAAGAAATTCGAAGAGGAGAAATGTAGCCCAAAATCATATTTAGTGACAAAGTGCGATGATATGAAAATCATCGCTTAGACTTACACGGCGGTCTGCTATTTCTTTTCTTCGATACCGCAATTTTATCTTTCTCAGATCGAACGGATGCGGGATCCGACAACGTCGGAGCCAGATATTTTCTTCCCGAAGCGCTTCCTATACTGTCCGATCTTGGAAGCACTACCGGTTTCTTAGCTCTATGTTTTGGAACTTCGACATCCTAATTGTCAGAAGATTAAAAAATAACAAAATACAAAAATAACACGAATTTCACCATAAGATAATTATTTATAATTAATTTTTATTATAATCCACAAGTAATGGCAATGTAAAAATTCTAGCGGAACGATATTTTAGAGATTATGTAGAAACTCGTTTATTTATATATTTCTTTTGAAAACTTTAAAAGAAAAATTATGATTGATTTGTTAATTTTGATATAAAAATGTTAAAAAATTTCTTTCTTAGATCAACTTTTCTACCAGGAATGTGTATGTGTGCGCTCGAATTATAGTGAAGCAAATAAAATAAAATGTACCTTCGTCTCGGTCTCTTCTTCACGATCGACGCTAATTTCCTTGCTTTTCTCCTCTTTACTTTTCTCCTGATCTTGAGGCGGCACGGCCGCGTTATTCGTAGCACGAAGTCCGGCAATCAAACTATTCTGTTGCTTCTACAAAAATATAGAAAAAAAAAGAAAGATTATTGTCACGACACGATTTTGAAATCAATCAATCCTCACCGCTCGTATCTTTTTCAAACAGCCCTGTAACCAAGTTCTAATGGTTTGCTTGGCTACCTCCTCCTCGATTATGTATTCGAACTCTTCCCGTGCAAGCAGTTCCTCCAGTTGAAGCGCTTTTCTTATGTCCACTGAACGGTACGATAACATACTAAAAAATTCTTCAATTTAGAAAGCTTTTTAATAATTAAACTCGAATGATATAAGACTATTCACACACATCATTTGTGTATGGTTGAAGAATTTGCAAACCAGATGGTACAACATAAGAAGGATGAAAAAATCTAGAGCAATTTATAAAATATCTGAAAGATTCATAAAACATCTCTATCGGATTTTAATTAAAAACTTAATATAAAGAGAGTAAACGCACTTACTATTGATCACAGTCAGTTTCACAAAACTTACTTAATGACGTCATGAAAGGTGACGTCTTCACCATTGTGCAGTCGTTCCAGCTCATAGCACATGTACTTGAAGAGCAGGCGATCTTTCTGTGGATCAGTCTCCAATCTACCCTTTAATAACCGCAAAATAAATTTCACCTGAAACATATTAGTATTATTATTTGCACTTCTTAAGGATTGTTATATCGTCTTGCTGGATATGGAATTATTTATTCGAAATTCATAAGTAAGACCATACCCGCTTCACCGGTATAACACCTTTTTGGTGATTATCAACGACATTCCACGTGTTCTGGAAGTTCCTTATGTCGGCGTATGATAATAATGCGTCTTCTTCATTCGAATAAAATAGAGAAAAGTTCTCCATGATAATAGCTGTTTGAAAAAAAAACACAAAATTTTATTTTTCTTACCTGCGATTCTCACTCTTTCTAATTAAATTATTCTAAAAATCTAATTAAAAGAATATTGTTTTAAAAAATTAATTTAAATATCCTTCTTCCTCTCTCCATAAGTAAAGCGAGAGAAAAATAATTGTGTCATTTTTTTAAATATAAATAATATCTATATGATAACTTGACGTAAATATTTATTTGGTGCGTATCCTGTACATACCCACTAAAAGATTCAAGACGATGTAAGTAATAATGACGTAAAAGGTGCAAAAATAAATTAGAGAAGCGTGGAAATTGCCACAATCTGTTTCCCAGTAATTATTCGCCGGTGTGCAATAGGGCGGCTGTATCATGCAGTCGTGCATAATTTTATTCCAATCCTCTCCTGTCACTATGCGAAAGAGCATCGCCACGCCGGTGACCGGTGACTCAAAATTAGCACGTCTGGATTGCAAAGAGATTGCTTTTAATACACTGGCGAAAATAATACAGGAGACGAAGAAAGATCATGAATTCAGAAAAGAGATTTAGTACCATTGAAAAATCCAGATAAAAAGATGTACGTTTTATATACTTATAAATTCTAAAAAATCTGGTGAGAATAATTCTTTAATGATAAATTAAAAGTGTAAACGTATATGTGTATTTCTCACCTTCCTATGCCTTCTCCGTACTTTACAGTACCAAAGATTATGGTGCCGGCTAACGCATAAAAGAACACAAGGAGAAACATGCCGAATATGATGAAGAAACTTTTGCAGACAGATACACCGACCGTCAACATCAGCATCTTAAGAGTCGTGTGTTTGCCGGTGATGGTGAAAAATCTGAGGATCACAACCATAAATCCGATCACGTAGGATAGGTCATTCTGAAAGCAACGCAGTAAATCATAATACTAGGAAAAGAATGTGGCGAAGAGAATCTAACTAGATATATCAAACATACCTTCATCGTGCAATGTATAACGATCCAGATAACGCCCACGACTGTCACGAGCAAATCATATCTGTTTCTTCTGGACTGCCAATAGCCACGTGGTGTAAAAGCAATGTTTTTCATGATTACTTCCACGAGGAAGACCAGTGTCAGAATCGTGGAGACCGTAGCGAGCGCTTCCGTATGTTCCTCCTCGATTCTCCACTTGAGACGAGCAAGATAAAGAAAAAAAAGAGGAGAAGACCGCAGATTAAACATGAGCAAACGATTAGTCACACTAACTTTTAGCCACGGTCTAATGGTAGCCGGTAAGGAACAAATGATTCAAAGTAACAGTCTCCAAATCGATGGGGGCTTCTCTATATGTAGGAATGATTTTTTTTCTGTTATCTTCTATTTTTTTCGAGATTGGACGTCACTTTGTCTTTTCAACACGATGCTTGTCGTGATCCTACTAATCCTACCGTTGGACGCTTGTTCTATATACATGACTAATAAATTTGTAAAGAACTAAATAGGAAGTAAGGCTGCTTAATTAAAGCTGCTTTTCTCAAGCTCGCAAATGGCGTTTTCAAGCAAGATTGATTCGTTGTAAGAACTTTAAGCTAGCATATTGAGTTCACGTGATCATGCATGTAACTCTCTAGTTGTTATATAACAATTTCTGTAATTAAACTATTGCCAATAAATAGAGAGCTTATCTAAGGCGCGAATGAAAGCAATGCCTAAGTAAAAATGGGATAATTATGGAAGGTATCGCGAGATCCTGACAAGTATCTATCAGTTCTGGCATGTTTAAATCGAAAGATTAGCCTTGTTCAACTCACAGAGACGCACAGCAGAGCGCTATTTATGAGCACCATGACGGCGATGAATCGTTTGAAATAAATGTTCTGCGTAATGTCGTAGATGAAAGCACGGAACTTCTTGCCGTCCGGTCTCGGCGGTAAGTGCAACGGCTGAGCGATTTTTAAACGTTTCTTCAAGTCGCACCTGCATCGAAATTCATATCTAGTAAATCATATCGAGATCGAAATTCGCCGATAAAATATCTCGAAACCTCTCACCATCTTCTCTGATCAACCGTAAGCAAAGCGGTGCCTTTGTTCTCGGAGTAATTCGCGATCACGACACCTACGAATAGCGTTAAGCCGATCATACAACCAAGGAAGATATAAATGTGTATATAGATTGCATGAACCTGAAAAAATAGGATATACAATATGATAAAAATTACTTATTCTTGAAGCGCAAAATATGTAAATTTTTACGAAGCGTGTTTGTGTATTAAAGTAAAAATTAGTGACTCACAGGACCGAGAGCTTTAATAAGAACATCCCGCACATCGAGCCAGCCTTTGAAAGAAAGTACTTCGAACAAAGCCATCATCGCATCGCCGATGTTATCAAAGTTAAACCGTTTAGGATTAGCCCTGAAACGCATTACAGTATTAGTACTACGAAGACAAAAAAATCTATAAGCATTGCATTAAGAGAGAGAGAGAGAGAATATGAATTATTGATAAAAAATATATATCTGATAGTATACAATAAAATATAATTATTAATAAAATATAATTATACCCTCAAAAAAATGTCTTGCTGATATAGGTAGATTCTAGGTGTCACAACAAAAATTTATTGCTATTTTTTGTATCTGTTAGAATATTGTCTGTTACATATAGAATTTATAGCAGCAATATTCTAATAATATCTTCTAGAAAATTTAGGTCCCATTGCCAAATGTTAATCACTGCATTGGATAAATATGAGTTTCGATACTACAGCTAGAACGATCTTTGTGAGAAATATAACTGCCAATTATAACTGCAGCATCGAAAAATTGAGAGAAATTGTTTAAAAGAGCTAGATAGATTGAGCGCGTTATACAAATATGTTAGACGTGAGGATTATATATTCATTTGTTTCTTGCCGCTAATTTTTTCTGTATACCACAGCCAAACTTTATAACAAGTATGATTGGCCTTAACATGGATAGGCGCCACAGAAAAACATTCTTTCTAAATTTCACAAACAGTTCAGATATAAATTCTGTCTCTGTCACTTAGATCGATTAAATGCGAAACATATGCGATATCACAGTATTTGCTAATCATTTATGTACCTCAGTTAATTTTGCGCACCCAGAAAATTTTTGCTGTGGTTGCAATACCACTTTTTTGAGTGTATATTTAGTCGAAATAGAACTGACCGATTTATTAACCATTTTATGCTCACCAAACGCGTGGTACTAAAATGGACGGATAACTCTCGTTCTTCCCCGGTCGCAGCTTCATTTTCGTCACAAACACTCTTCTCATGAACACGCCGACGCAATCCTCGCGCTTTAAAATAGTAGGATCGTTACATCTTGCTAATCGACCGCCATACAATTGTACACCATAGCTCGCAAATACGAACATTAATAGAATCAATAATGTCGATACCTAAATAAAATGGTTCTTTATCAATCACTTTGTTTGGCAGTTCATAAATCCACGTCATTTCTAGACCAAAATTTTAGGGAGAGAGGGAGGGGTACTATGCTTTAAAATTTTCAACATTTACCAACAGAATTTCTTTGAATCCCCTGCAAAGCTCATAAACGACCTTTCTCATGTGCGGTACAAGAGTAAAGATCCTCAATGGTCTGACGCATCGTAATATCATCAGCAATTGTGCTCCGGAATTCGGCGGCACACTCTTCGGCATCCAACATAAGAACACAAGACTCACCTGCAATAATATAATAACGTGGCAACATACAAAAATTGTTATCATGTATTACATGATTTATACAATTATATTATTATATAACTATTTTGTACGATTTTTATCATAATTATTATTTTTCTCAAAATTACAAAAATATTTTATAGTATGAAGTAGAATTCGATGTATATATATTTTTGATGTATTATACGTACGATGTAAATGAAAACATCCAATACAGAGGCGACATCCTTGATGTAAGCCTTAGGTGTGAAAAACAGGCCGTCCGCCAAAATCTTGAGCGCTAGTTCGATGCTCATGCAAATAACAAAGCAATATTCGGTAATCTGCAACGCCGGCTCCTCCATCACGCGGTACCGCGGTGTCTCGAACATCATCGAGATGCATGACAACGTCGTGATGAATATCATCACCCAGTCGAGATAAGTCACTAAACCGAGAAAATTGCTGCAGAGAAAGAGATAAAAAATTCATCAGCTTGAGTGTCCCTTTTAGTTCCATCTCAATGTTTTAATATTACAACAAATCTTACTGCAAGCTCTTGTACTGCACTTTCCTTTCCTTGCCCGTTAAAGGATCCTTCAGTTTCGCATCGTATCTCGCATAGACGAACAACTGGCAATACTTTCGGAATTTGCTCTCGCGTGGTACCGCAAATAACGGCGTGTCGAAGAATGGATGATTCTCTCGCAAATCATCTTCTCGTTGATTTCTGGAGAGATAAAAAAAGAAAAAAGATGTAGAATATTAGATTGGCGGAGATCTTAGAAATGTGCGGCGTACCGTCGCATTTCCGCCTGTTGTCTCTTAGCTTGAAGCAACTTGATATCTAAATCGTGCGGTCTGCTGCGCGATGAACTAACTCTGTTTATTCCACCTATGTCTCCGTTTTCCATGAGATGCTCGTACGTCTGTTTGAGCTTGATCGATCCACTTCGGACGCTTCTTCTGATTGATCTATTTTCGTCCGTGAGTAAAAAAAACAAATAGAATAAAAGCGAAGACGTAAAATATGCGAGTAGTATTGTTATGAATAATATATTAAAAAATATTAAAACTTCTATGTAATAACGAATTGAAAAAGAATATTGGATCATTGAATATATATTGTTCTATTTCTTAAATTTTCAAACCTATAAATGTCGATTCTCTTTTTTAGATTCTTTTCTTATATCTTTGTATTTTATTCTTACTTTTTCTGGTCAATGCGAAGCTGCTTGGCGCTGCTAACAGTACCCTGCGGTTTTAAAAGTCCTTTTCCTGGTACTGGAATCATGGCAGAATCTCCCAATAGTAATCTCTGATTGTTGGAGTCACTGTAAGCAATTAAAAATTAGTTCCAAGTCTAAGTTTTAGAGTAGTAACACCGCAACGCGATGTTAAACTTACTTTATGATATAAATGACAGCTGCTTTCTTCAAATTAGTGACAACAGTTCTCACCTTCGGTGGATTGTTCAAGATCTTTACCGGACGTTGTTTTCTATATACTATTTTTGAATCGAAGGTTTCGTTAATTCTTTTAGCATTTTCGTTCTCCTCGTCTTCTACTTCGATCACAAACTGTCGCATAAAACTTTCACGCACCTTAGAAAAGATAAATCAAATATTGATTTCAATGCAGATTGTTCAAGATCTTTACCGGACGTTGTTTTCTATATACTATTTTTGAATCGAAGGTTTCGTTAATTCTTTTAGCATTTTCGTTCTCCTCGTCTTCTACTTCGATCACAAACTGTCGCATAAAACTCTCACGCACCTTAGAAAAGATAAATCAAATATTGATTTCAATGCATTGAATAGTTATTGTTTTTTTTTAAATTAATATTAAAAATTTATTAAAATTATTAATAACGAATCGCAAGAAAGAATAATATTTCTTCAGAAACCTTCGGCAGATTGAAGTCCGACGGTACTTTGTGAAGACACGTCATTTGCGGACTATCCGGGAATTTTTCAAAGATTCTCAGCCTGAACGGCAAGCTCTCCTTTATCTCGGCGCTTTGTTCACGAAACTTCAGTTGTTTCAATTTCTTTATATCTTCGTCCAGCTCAAGATTGTCTAGGATCACTGCGACGAAGAGACTCAATACAATCTGAAGAGATAGTTTTAATTAATTACATTGATTAATATTCGTTATATAATTTTAACACGCATTTATTGCATTCAAGAAATATCAAGTGAAAAACATGTACCAGAGTGACGAAGAGATGATATAAAATAAAATATACTGCGACTAGAGGTGCCATTGTTTCATGAGTTCGTAGCATGGTCTCGTCCATGACATCGACCCAGGCTTCTTGCGTGAGAATTTGGAACATCGACATAAATGCCTAAAAAAAATTTATCCTTTGAAGCTTAGAACACACAATTATGTAGCAATAAAATTCGTTAAAGTATAAAAGCGACTTACTTCGGGAAAAGTTTCAAACTTGGTAAAGTCGCAGAGAAAACAGAAAAGCTGCATGGAAATGCTGGAAGATATCACCAGCAGGCACATGGTAAAAATAATGAGACTGCCGAGTTTCTTGCCAGGACCAAAAATTTTGTAGACGAAGTCCTCCAACATCGGTGACGCTTTAATAAGCCGGACCACTCTGAGAACCTTTTCGTATACAAAGATATAAAATATTAAAAATCTATTATTGTTTTCCCAAACAATAGTTGTTCAAATTTCTAAAAGTTGAAAAATCAGCGGTTAAGGAAACAGCGCAAACAACGAATTTAAAGAGCACATTCAAGCATAGAAAAATGAAGTGAAGTGAAACAACACGAAAGACGAAGAGTTGGAAGTAACTGATAGAGACCTGAAAGTAAGTGAATCCAGAGAGATAAAAGAACGGAATAATGTGTAAAGTTGTGCCGATAGCAAGCAGCAACTCGAACTTGTGAATCGAATGCTTGTAGTAACTCCGGAATCCAAGGCACCATATCTTGAAGAGCGTCTCCAAGTCC